TTTAAGATGTGCTCAATGAGCCATATAGTTTTTAGGGGAGGTCATATTGTTTCAACAAGTTGATTATGTATTCAATTTAGAGGAAAGCTTACTTCTATTAAAGCATATTATTTCTAAGAGCCACCATTTTTATACCTATGTGCTGAAACAATTTCAGATTTATAGAAAAAAATGAAATAAAAAGTGCATTGATTTCTGTTTTTTTTTTATAGAGGCATGTTATTTATTTATTTATTTATTTGTTTGTTTGTTTTTGTTTATACATGCACTGGGTACAGTCAGAAGCGCGGGAGCGTGAGAGAATTCACCAGAGCCATAGTGGGGGAGCAGAGTAGGCAGAAGGACCGAAGTACACTGCTGAGGGGAGCAGCAGGTGGCTGGAGAGGTCTGCGCGCCATGTGGGACCCTCCTCTGGTGGCCGGGGAGCAGCCGGGGATCGAACTGGCGCCGCAGAGACCGCGGGCAGCTTCACAACCCAGCGCTCAACCGCTGCGCCACTGGGGAGGCCCAAAAGTGCATTGATTTCTATATATCCTTCCTTCGGATTCCAAATATGTTAATAATTCACCATTTTAATATTCTCCTTTTCTCTCTGTGTGAATGCACGCTGCACGCGCACGTGCACACACACACACACACACACACATTTTTTTCTTTAATCATTTGAGAGGACATTGCAGGTGTGATGCACCTCCTCCAAGTACTTGCTAAAAGCAAGGATATTCTTTTAAATTACCACAGCACAAATATCAAAAAAATCAAATAACACTGATTTAATACTATTATCCAATTTATAGACCTTATTCAAATTTAACCTGTTGTCACCATAATGTACTTTTTATAACAAATTAATTATTTTTTCCTGGCCCATAATCCAATTTAGAGTCACTTATTACATTTAATTATACCTTGTAAGTCTCCTTTAATTTGGAACTGTTTCTCAGCCTTTCTTCTTTTTCATGATCTTATCACTTCTGAGGAATACAGCCCATTTTGCACACTACCCCTCCACTGATTTGTCTAATTTTCCTCATGATTACATTCAGGTAATGCATTTTCTGCAGGAACCATTTAAGTATGTGTCCTTTTCAGGTGATACAGGATGTCTATTTATGCCAGGACTAAAGACTAACAATGTTAACTTTTGCTTAGTGGTAACTGTCATGTTTCTCTATTGCAAACCTTCAATTTTTTCTCCTTGTGAATTATCTGATGTACTTTGGAACTATGTAGATACTCAGATTTTCACAAAACTTTCACCTACTGGATTTATCAACCATTGATGACTCCTTCCCCAAGCAGTCACTACTATGGTAGTGACCAGACAGTGATTTTTATTTATTTTTTAAAGATTTATTTATTTATACAAGAACTAGGGTACAGGTCAGAGGCATGGAAGGGTGAGAGGATTCACCAGAGACAGAGCGGGGAGCAAAACAGGCAGACCGACCAAAGACACTGTGAAGGGAGCAGCGGGTGAGACAGGAGAGGTCTGCTGCGCCATATGGGTTTCTCCCTGGCTGGCCGGGAATTGAACCCATACTGCAGAGGCTGCAGATAGCTTTACCGCATGGCATTCAACCCGCTGTGCCACCAGGGAGGCCCAGACAGTGATTTTTAAATGTTGTATTCCTTTTACATTAGCTGTTACTCTATTAATGGAAGAACTTCCTGTTTTTCTATTGCTTGTTTGCTTGATTTCTATCTGTATGAACTCATGGTTTCTTGATTAATTCAATGGATTCTATAATTCACGACTATAATTACTTATTTTGATGCTCACCAGTTTGGCTGGTGGGACAACTCAATCTGTGTCCCCTAATTCTTTTAGCACTTTCTTACTTTCTGGTAGAACAAGAAATTCAAGGCTCATATGTGTATTACCTGTCCCAGTTCTGAATTCAGTCATTTTTCTAAAAAACCTGTTTTTCTTTAATTAGAAAAGTTAGAAAGCAAGTTCTTTCTGAGTAGTAGTAGTCTCATTGGTATTGGGTCATCTCTCTTCTACATCCTCTTACAGGATAAAACTAGTAAATATACACGCTATAGGTACACATAGTTCTACATCTATAAATATTTCTATGAACCTATATGTATGAAAAAATCACGAGTTCATTACCAATGTTTCCAATTCCAGTCCAATGTGGCATTCCAAACCATTACCACAGGGGAAGATATCCATCATTTGTAAATACTATTTTGAAACTGTCAAAACCCACAGGTTTGTTGTCATTAAATTTGCCATGCTATAGAACTGGAGTTACAAGATATTCTGGGACTGCATAATGCTAGTCATCCACCCATTCACTTACTAACTCACACTCTGTGGTAGTTACTTGGCTAGGAATATGGAAATACAAAACACATTCTCCCTAAATGCAAACAGTTCCATCTACTAAAGAGAGAAGGAAAAAAAAAATGATTACAATACGGTACAGTAAGTTCTATATTATTCAGTATTTCATGGGAACGGAGAAGAGGGACACAAGCCTAACCTGAGTAAACTGTATTAATTCAGAGAAGGAAAATTAGGTTGCTTACACCATTCATTGAAAGAGTTTACATGAAATAAAGAGTGCACTTGGCTTCTGAGCAAAAGCACCTTTTATGTAGCATTCTGATTTATTGAGAAGGGTTCTTTGTGTTGATTGAATTCATCCAAAATGTGCTCAGTTTTGACAAAACCTATGCAAATAAATTTCATGAGAATCAGTGTTAGCTTGTGGGAACAAAGGTTAGGTTTTTTGCTTTTTTTTTTATGCAACTCCCAATGACCATAAAGGAAGGGGAAATTTTCATTCTTCAAACTACCTAATATTCTGTGGTGGATTTTTCTCCCTCTTCTTTATAAGTTAAACAACACCAGCTTATTTTTATGTATTGATTGCCACCCTCTTGAGTAATAGTTTGTACATACTGATTTTCTTTTATCTAAACTTAATCTTTAACTAGACAGTTTTATGGAAATAAAAAAGCACATGTGTGCATGAGTGTGTGAAAGGGTATGTCTAGAAAGTAAACATTGAGAAAAAAATTGGGAAAAGTAGTATAAAACTGACAAAAAGCTGTTATTTTTGTTGTCCTATACAACTAGCATTCTTATCAAAATTTGCCACCATAATTTATTTTCTTCTTTTTAAAAGGTAAATGTGGGTTATCCAATGGTTTGTGTTCCCCTCACCAGTTTCTCTTGGTTCTAACTCTGGGCACTTGCCATTGCTCCTTCTACAACAAAATGGTTCCTTAATAAAACTAAGATCACAGGAAAAAAATAGAACTGAGACATGCACATACCTTGTCACTATGGGAGCAGAATCAAACATGACTATTTATTTATTTATTTATTTATTTATTTATTTATTTATTAGGCAGCCTTAGGTTATAGAAGGTATATGCCCTATACAATCATTTTAATCATGAAATACTCATGATGAATAATAAATGTCTAGTGTTAATTACGACACATAAGCTTTTTCTTAATGTTTTTCAAAAATGCAATTTTAGACAACCATAAAGCTACAGAAAGCATGGGTTATATACACTGGCTTACACAAGAAAAAGGAGACACCAGGTAACAGTTTTAACATGTAATGATTAGTGAAAGCTTTTATGAAAGTAAGAATTTTAAATTACTTTATTGAATATTATCTTCAATTTGAAGGCTTTAACTATCCATAATCACCATTATACAATATGTGTATGCATTTTTGTAAGAAATAACCATTGCAACATACTTTGTGAGGCATAATTGTGTTGCAAAATTATAAATGAAATATAATTTGATATAAAAAACAACTAATCAGAAGCATGAAAAACAGCATGTTTTAATAAAAGCCTATTGCAGATTCTGGAATAATTGTTGCATGCATGTCCCTAGTCATGTTGGACTTCTCTTTCAGTTTTGATTGGAGTAATGTATGTTCCACAACACCGATTCTAATGTCCATCTGAACAGTTTCTTGCTTCAGTTTTGTTAAACTCTGTTTAATCTTTACTAAAGGAGCTGCAGAATGAAAATAATATGGAATAAAAATGTTCATTTGGAGTATCAGTGTATTATAGACTTGTATGACATTTCCCTCACTTTGTCTTAAGCCAAAAATAGGGTTAAAAATACAGCCAACAACTTACTGACATTCACACAGTTTTGCTGTGACATTTTAAACACCTGAGATTTTTAAGATGGGAAAAGATTCAGCATTTGATCTACTAAGGCTGAATGTCCTTTCTTTTCTAGGGGAAAAGTTGCTAAAGGGATGTTTAGGGATGTCTTCAATACGATTTTTACAGGCTGGTATATTTGCCTGTGGAAAAAGTAGATACAATGGATGAAAAAGGCAAGTAAGAATACCTTTGAGATACAAATAATGGGATGATTCAAACATATTGCAAAATTCCTATATATTCCATTTTGAAAGATCACTCAGTATGTACTACTATAGAATTACAGAACCCTAGAAAATCTTTCTAGGGCATAGAAGAGCCTTAGGCAGTCATGTCAAAGTAACGAGCCCTCGATGGAGAGTGATTACTGAAGGATTATTATATCTCTATTTGACCCCCACCCAGTCAGGTCTACTGGGAAGAGAAAAAACCACAAGGTCATCACATCACTGCTTTTGTGCCATTTGGGCAGACACTTAGTGCTCTTTGGTACACAAAATGGAAAAATGAAGCTCATTTGATAAAAATAGAACAAAATATCATGTTTTTTAAATTGGTATAACAAGTATACTTAAATATTTCTCATTCTATCTCTGAATTAATGCAGTTTGAATTAAATAAGAAACACTAAGTGACACTAAAAATTACAGTTTTTCCTCAGCGGACAGGGAAAACAGTATATTGATTTTCAGACATCATTTTTGTACAATGTCCTTCCCCTCAAACAAGCTTATTTTAAAACAGCAGAATCCCTATTTATTAATACCATTTTGCTAGGTAGATTTGTTGAGGAGATACTTTTGCTCATTTTGTCCATAAAACAAGTGTGTACTTACCACCATCGGTCATACTACTGCCCTTTTCTTCCATTTCTTGTTTTACCTTTTCTAATTCTTCTGTTACCTTTCATTGAAAAAACAAAAAGCTTTCCTGAGCACTGAAATTTAATAAACATTAAAAAAATTGGAATGCTGTATTAAGAAAAATTAATTTGATATAATACACACATACAGGACACAGGGATGCTAGAAGCATTCTGGACATGCCTTGAATAATAAGTTTACAGATAGAAAGCTTTTTATCTTCTGAGAATGTTCCTAATGCTAAACTTTACCAAATTACTTCCTCATTAACTTTCTCAGGTTGTAACATGATAGTATAAAAAAGATGTAAGTTGCAGTTATAGGGGATATCTATCATGTCAGTCTCTAATAATCAGTTATTCATTGAAATAGTATAAACATTGTAAAAAATTCTGGATTTAGAAAGGTTACTACGTATCTTTCTTAATATTGTAGTTTTATAAGAGAATGAGTCACCTTTCCCTTTATAGGACACTAAAAACAATGTTTATACCTTATGACTATATATTAAAACAGTCTAAGTGCTCTATCCAAACCATGAACTCCAAGAGGCACACCGTAGGGCCAGATGGGCCCCTGTGTACATCTGTACTCAACATCAGACTCAAAATTATATGATTACAGCCTCTATCATTAGCAAGACTTCAAAGTAACATTAATGTAAGTAGAAAATAACATTTTATAAAAATTAGAATTTTTGATGTGCTCTAGAATGAAGTCTCATTATAATTACCTAAATTTTATTTTTATCATAGCAGTGAGTAAAACCTTCCTTGGGATTAAAGTGCTCATCCAAGTAAAGCAAGTTAATTTTTTTTTTTTGGGCACCTGAAATGTTACAACTGGGGATAACTACCTACTCCAAAAGAACTGAATCGTTCCCTGGACTCCCTTCAATTGTTAATTTGCCTAACATAAGTTAGCATTTTACTTCTACAGAATGTTTTGTTTGCCTGAAAGCAGCACAGGATTGGAGTCTAAATATTTCCAATATTGCATTTTTAACATCTTTAAAGTAAGTAACTCCTCAAATAATCTGCATAAATGAAGTTCAGGTTTGTAATGTAGAAAATTTTGTGACAATTAACTGAATTGTAACCAAAGATAACCCTGGATTTTAATCTCACATTAGGTACCTGTCTTGTGATAAGTGTTCTGTTTTTTTCCCCTCTAGGCTCTTCAGTGAAAAGTGGGAATATAGGGGGCCTCCCTGGTGGCGCAAGGGGTTAAGCACCGCACTACGAAGCTACCTGCAGTCACTGCAGCAAGAGTTGGATCCACGACCAGGGAGCAACCCACATGGCGCAGCAGACCTCTCCTGACTCGCACGCTGCTCCCCACAGCAGTGTACTTTGGTCAATCTACCTGTTCTGTTCCCCACTCTGTCTCTGGTGAATCCTCTCACCCCCTGCATCTCTGGCCAGCTGCCTCTCACCCCCTGCATCTCTGGCCTGCATACCCCAGCTCTTGTATGCATAAATAAATAAATCTTTAAAAAAATGGGAATATATATTAGATCTTACCTCTCTTGCAATGAAAATAAATACAATAAAATAGGTTAATATTCCAGAATTCTCAGAAGGAAAGGGTTATAGACACTCCCAATTTGTGAAGAGAGCAATAAATACACAGGATCCCACACAAATTATCAAAAAATTAAACAACTAAAAACTAACAACAAAATCAAATATTGCATCATGCACACTAATATTAAAATTTCTTACAGACATTTAAGTCGGTGCTTTAACTACTCTTCTATATATTATAATTATAATGTTAATTGAAGATTAAGGAAGGTTAAATATGCAATGTTATCATTGGTCCTATGTTAATTTAATAACTTCAGGAATTTTGTGAAAATAAGTAGTGTATGAATAATTGATTCATTGATGAGAAAATTAAGGATTTTCTCCTAAGAAAAGGAATAAAACTACAGGAAGTAATAATGAAATAAACAACTAATAGCCTCAGCTGTATGAAACCATTCTCAGCTCTCAACAGCCTGGCCTAGCTGACAGGTGAGAAGCTGCAAGAGCACACTGCATGTACCTCAGACAGAAGTCTGGTCCTTTCCGTTACTCCACCATTGCCCTGCTGATATCGCTCCTTTGCCTAAGGAAGGAAACATTTTGTTTAACGACAAATTCAAAACAGAAGCAGATTACTTAAATATGACCTCTTTGTGTTTGTAATTTCTGCATATCATTTTATGACAACCTCCCTTCTCATTTGTGAATACATTTATGAAAGTGACATTTAACGGTAGCTATTTTATGTCCTTAATAGGCACTGTGTATTTAAAGCACTATAAAACGATGAACTACCTTAACCTTTAAATACTGGCTGTGCAACTCCCATGGGCATGGCTCATAATACAACTATCCACATCCATTCCTAAACAGTTTAGGAGACCGCTCTTGATCGATCTAATTTACAAGCTACGCAGAAAAAGCAGTTCTATAAAAAAATCAATCACACTAAGGTATGAGGATCAGTAATTAATTAATAAGAATTAATAAATGGTATAATAATATGGGATATGTTTTGGGGAACTAATCTAACAATCGATTATTTAACACCAACTGTCTGACTGATACCAGTGGCTTTTAATCAGAGACTTCTACAGCATTTTAAAAGTAAAAATATCCATGAATAGATGTGTAGATGAGGGACCAATCATTTAACAAATAACAAAATACAAAAGATTACTTTCTGTTAGGTCTTTGAGAATGCCTGAAAGTACAGAAATACCTCAAGTTTATTTCCATTCTTTCTCCTTCTTCTAACCTTGTCAGCTAAAAGAAAAGAAAATATGCCTTCAACTGACACTTGCAAGTATTCTTACTAGTCTTCTTCAACCTGAGGAAAGCAAGGTCATAAATCCCAAGGGAAAACCTTCAGATCCATGCTGCCGGGACAAAGAACTGCTGCTTTCAAAGGCTGAAGATTGTATTTTATTTTTTTAGTTAGAATTCAGAAACTTTGCAAGGATTAAAAAATTTGCTCATGAAATTAATTAAACTGCTTGTCTTTGAACGTGTCTTGCTTTCATATTCCTTATTATGTGGTTGTAAGCCATTATGGCAAAGGATGTCTCTTTCCTCTGACACATGTAAATGCATACTATTCTTCTTCCTCCCACTCCTTTGGTAAATTAACAGCAGACTTAGAAACAAAAGCAGGTATCCTGACATTCTGTTCCTGTTCTAAGCCATGCTCCCCAACAATGCATGCCTTCATTTATTTAAATCAAATGAAGAAATGCATTTAAATGTCTAGGAGATAATTTTGACCTACTAGAAGCCAACTTGGCTCATTATTGCCTCACTTGGCTTCCAAAAGTGGGCAGAGAATCAAGGTGTTGTTATTTGTGAAAAACATTAGGGATTGTGTCAAGTTTAGGGATTAGGGTCATTAATTGGAATAAATGTCTAGATACTGTTCTTAAATTACCTCACTTAGCTGGGCTTGAGCTGCACGATATTCTTGAACCAGGTGCTCGAGTTGATTGTTGATGTACTTTTCTCGGCTGCCAATCTTTTCCAGAGTCCGACTGATTTCATTGTGGAGTTTGTCCAAAAATCCCTAGGAATTCCATGGGGTTTTAGTAGATAAAATAATTTATAAATATATTTTTCAAAAATAGTTTAAAATGGGTTAAATCTCCCTCAATGTATCCCATAAATTCTCAACTACTTGTGAAAAATAAGACAGTTTGAAATTTTTAATAGCAAAAGAATTCTGAAATGAGAAATATTTTATTCACACTTTGCAGAATGTTAAAATAAAAAAAACACCTGGTAGTGTTAGTTAATTCGTTTCTCTTTATGCTTATCTAAAATGTATAACAGGGCCTCCCTGGTGGTGCAGGCGGTTGAGCACAGTGCTGTGAAGCTGTCCGCAGCCTCCCGGTTTGATCCCCAGTGGCCTCAGAGCAACCCATATAGCCCAGCAGACCTCTCCTGTCTTGCCCACTGCTCCCCTCAGCAGTGTATTTCAGTCAGTCTGCCTGTTCTGTGCCCCAGTCTGTTTCTGGTGAATCCTCTCACCCTCCCGCACATCTGGCCTGTACCCTGGTTCTTGTATAAATAAAATTTATCTTTTAAAAAAATAAAATAAAATGTATAAGAGTGGAATGTGCTTTATACAGTGCACAATCAAAGTAGGTAAGAGAGTAACAAGACACAATTCAAAGATGACTGGAATATTCCACTTGGAATATTCCATAAGTCTCACTTCAGCTTTGCTTCTTTGTGGCAGCTCTAAATGTTCCTATTTGTGGCAGGGCAGGAAGCTGGGGAAGATGTAGGTTGTAGGCATTGCTGGCCTGGTGCTCTGTTATCCCCTGGGATTAGAGAGGAAAGAATGATGAAATATTTCTTTCTAAGATACATATGTACTACATACATATGCAATCTAAAGATACATATTGTATTACTTTCATAAAAAGTTATGTTTCTTTAGTTGGTTTAAGTGTTTGGGTTGTTAAAATGTAATATGGTACCTTAAATAAGAAAACTCTTCAACAGCAAGCTTTGTGTCTTTTTTGTTTCATGTTTCCCCATAGTAGATGTTTAGCAGAAGGTAAAGGTATTGATTCATATGAAGTAATTCACATACCTTGGTCTCCTTTAAAGCAGATTCAATTCCACTTTTGTGCTGGTGCATTTGGTCAACATGGATTCTCCAATCCTACAGACATAAGAACATAGGAACAAGTACAAAATAATATATATGTCCTTCTTTTCTTTACTTTTTTTGAAGTTGCATCCTTTATTTGAATTACTCTGGTTGTTAACCTATATAGAGTCCTATATATAGTTTGCAATCAAATTATAAAGAATTATGTATAGAACACTTCAGGATAAAAGGTTCTAAATAAATGTAAATTATTTTATGTGTTCACAGAATAATGTCTGACAATTTGAATATAAATTATTCTCTGCACTGCTGGTGGTTAATATTTATGACTACCCATCAAAATGAAAAAAATATTCTAATTACTAGAAAAGAAATACTTGTTTAAGCAGTAACAATTATGTTTGCTAAAAGCAACTCTGGAATCAAATATCATATATCAAACAGTAGTTTGTCCCTTGGAGAGCAAGAGAGGGCCTCTTCTTCAGTAAGATCTTAGAGTCTCTTTCTTAAGGAGGCCTATAATCCATATTAGAATTAATATATTTTAAGATATTGTGTACCATTATAGAATGGCATGAATTAGTGTGCATATTTAAAATCTACTCCAACATTTTAACTTCCTATATCTTCAAAAGTTTTTGGTTTACATTACTAAAAGTAATAATTTTAAGGCTTGACAATATCTATCATAAGAGGAAAAAATATCACTGCAAGATGAAGTAAGTGATGGAACCCAGATAATTCTCAATCACACATATTTGTTTGTATACCTTCCCTACCTTGCTATCTTTAGTATTTTGTAAAGAGAAAAATATTTTATGAATAGTCCCATTCTACTGCTTTCTTACCTTTGGAGCACTTGCCTGCTCTAGTAACTAGAGAGTAAAAAATTCTTGGGTACCTCACACATATTAATCATAAAAATTATAATATATTAACGTTGCAAGGAACTTTAAAAAACATCTATTCTCGGGGCCTCCCCGGTGGCGAAGCGGTTGAGCGCTGGGTTGCGAAGCTGCCCGCGGCCTCTGCGACGCTGGTTCGATCCCCGGCTGCTCCCGGCCACCGGAGGAGGGTCCCGCATGGCGCGCAGACCTCTCCTGCCGCCCGCTGCTCCCCTCAGCAGTGTACTTCAGTCCTTCTGCCTGCTCTGCTCCCCGCTCAGGCTCTGGTGAATTCTCTCACCCTCCCGCGCTTCTGACTGTACCCAGTGCATGTATAAACAAAACAAACAAACAAACAAACAAATAAATAAATAACATGCCTCTCTCTCTCTCTATATATATATATAAAAAAAACATCTATTCTCACTTTATCATTTCTCACACAAGCAGAAACCCAGTAACAGAAAGGGGCACATCTAAGGTCACACAGTATACCTGGGTCAAAAACCCAATGTACTAATTCCCACACAATACATTTGGCAGTCTAGAGTTATAAAAGTTGTAATTGGCTACTTGATACCAGTGAAGGTGGTGGAGCAGAAAACAAACCAGCACTTCCCTTCATGCTTAAGCATTTACTGTCTCGCGAGCAAAAAGTGTCTTGGAATATGAGAGTTGGAAAGAAACTTAAAGATCATCTACTTATCCATTTAGCAGTCATGTAGTTCAACGTTTTCATTTTACAGTTGAGGGGACTGCTCATCACCCGTGACTATGACAAGACAGATTTGGCAGGCAAACAGGTCCATCCAACTCAGCCAGTGCTGGAATAGGAAGGAGAAGCAACTAGCTGGCCTCCTGCATCTGGACCAAATATGGTTAAGCCTCAAAATGGAAACCTGTTTTAAGCCCAAGCAAATACATTTGTGAAAGAAAAGGAACCCTACAAGCATCGTTATATTGATTTTTTTTAAGTATTCATCCTGTTTGATTTCAAAAAGAATTTCAGAGGCATAATACTTACCAAGCTCAAGTATTCTTATCAGTGTCTGTCTTTATATAAAGTATGGATGTTTGCAAGCATGTATATATTTAATGTATGTATATATGTTATATATAGTTTTTACTGTAATTGGTATGTTTAAAATAGTTTATGTTCTGCTTTTACTACTCAGCACTATGTTCTACCTAGCAAATGTAATTTTTTTCATGTATTCATAGTATTTTGAGAGATGCAAACATGTCTGACTTATCCATGTATAATTATGATAACTTAGAGTGATGTTAAACTTCACAGAGGAGCTGGGATATCAGTAGAACCTTGAAGCATGAGAAGCATCTCAACAGGCCGGAAAGGAGTGGGAAAGGAAGGGCATTTTAGGCTGAGGGAACAGCATGAACAAGGGAAAACAGTTAAATATCAGGGAACAAATAGGGGCTAGCTAGAATATAAAGCACAAAGTTCTTGGGGTGGTATGGGGTGGATGGATGATGAGAAAACAAAGCTAGGAAAGCTAGAAAGATAGTTTAAACTAGATAAAGGTCTTTAAATATGGAGAATGGGTTTTTGTAATGGGGAGTCATCACAGATGTTTGGTTTTAGTTTTAAAGGTAAGCCTGTGTTTTAAGAAAGGAAAAGAGTGGATGACTGATTGGAAAGACAAGAGACTGAAGACAGGTAGGAGAACAAGTAGGGTTTGAATGAAAGCAATGCTTATTAGGATGGTAGGGAAAGGATGATTTCAAGTGACTGCAGAGTCAGAAGTAGCAGGACTTTTGGACGAAGGGGAGGTAAGGGTGACTGACGAGAAAGTGGGGAAGTAGAGAGATATTGTCTCTAACGGTTTCTAGCCTTAGGAACTAAGAGAACAGTAATGGCATAGGGTGACAAGAACAGAATTTCAAGGGAGTCAGAAATACTGAAGAATTTGGTTTGGGAATTCTTGATTTGATAAGCCCCTGGGACATCTGTATATTCTTATTTGCCTATTAAAGTGGGAACAAAGTAATAATTTACAATTATCTGCCAGGCAAATCTGAATGTTTGTTTCCTTAAAATCTTCTAAATGGACACATTTTCTGATGTATAGTTATTTTTAAAAGACTTGAAAATGTTCTTACCCTTTAACCTAGCAATTTCATCTCTAGAAATTATTGCAATGGAAATAAGTGAAGATTCAAAAAAAAGAATAATGTGTAAGTTCTTTGTAAAAGTAAACCAGTAGCAAACTCTAAATATCTAGCAGTAGAGGACTGTTAATCTTTTAATGTTCATTTCACTACTAAAAATAATGCAGTATGATACCATTGTTAAAAGCTCAAACCAAGCAAAGTTCAATGATACAGCTTGAAGATACATACATACATACATACATATATATATATATATATATATGAAAACACTTTTTAAAAAAGCAGCTAATGACAATAAACAAATTTGAAGACAGCAGTTACCCATGGGTAGGAAGGGACAGCAGCAGAACACATAGGTGAAAAAAAGAGTGTTATAATGGGGTAGTTCTCAAGTCGTATTCGTATAGTGAGTTCATGAGTGCTTGTTTTATTTTGGACTTCATAATTGCATGCATATTACATATTGTATATATTAATATTATGTATGAAAATGTTTAATTCATGTTTTAAAAATATTTGATAATCATCAAACATACTACTGGTAACAGTTTAGTAAAAATTAATATTGTGAGCTATGTGTATGTAATCTAAGAGAAGAACATGAATAGTGGTATTTTAAAAATTTTTATTTATTCTTCCAAATTTTTCTGAATTTCCTACAAAAATTTTATCACTTTAATCATGAGGAAAAAAGTAAAAAACCTTCTGGATGCCCAAGAAGTTCTTCAAAGGAGTTTAATGCAGTTATACTGCAAAGTATAAATGATTATACTTGTAACATTTTAAAAACGTGAATATAAAAATGCAAAATACATAGCTTTAAAGAACTACAATTGAGATGACTGAAAAATTTAAAAGCTTTGTTTGTAAGAATGGAGAAGTGACAAGCTTTAATGATATTTAAGGACTTGATCTTCAAAATAAATAATAGTAAAAGCTTCAACAATGACAGCAATTCTTACATTAATAGAGAATTCATTGAGCTACAAGGTATTTTTAATATACCTTTCTTTATCTGAGATTCACAAAGGTTTGGAGAGCTAAGTAGATGTTAACATTCCTTCTTTTTCACCTCCACCCTTCCCCAGGAGAGGGTTCTGTGATTTGCTGCCTGCTCCACTGATGCTGGCCTCAGTTAAGTGACCCCTTGGCCAGCAAAATGATGGTGGACAAGACCTCGGCCAGGGGGGCTGTGGTGAGGCTAAAAGAAGCATCCACTAGCTCTCTTGTGCTTTCTTTCAGCCACGAGAATGGGCATGCCCCACATAGGTCTTATTCTTTCATTCTGCTGCCAGGGGAGAGCCACAGTTAAGCCATATAAAAGCAGACAGGTATCTTAAATGAGAATAAATGTGTGCTATTATTGTAAACCACTGCAATTTGGGGGTTATTTGTGATACAGACAACTGTGTTATAGAAAAACTGCCTACATGCACCTATTTACAGGAGAAAAACTAAAAATTAGATAGGTTAAATGATTACTCCAATGTTTTATGTCTGGAAAATGGAAAGCACTCCCAATCCAGTGCTTTTCCACGAATTTTATGCTACTTTCTTTTGTGATAAAATGAACTACCAAATAACACCTAGGGTTAATTCCTTTTGGTTTATCAAAGTGAGATCAGGAGTTTATCGGTCATCTATTTCAAAGTGCTCTCAAGTGTGCTTATGAAGCATTATTTCTCCTCTCTAAAAGTTGAGTTTTTCCACCTAATCTTGCATATTTCTCTCTCAATGGAAATAAGAATAGTAATGATACTACATACTATTTCTTTAGACTTTCCTTTTTTCAAAATCCTTTCATACAAAATCTCATGTAGAATTCATTCTGTCATTTGTAAGATAGACAGCAAAGGTATTATAATCATAATTCCCATGTCCACTCTAATTCTTTAGCACCAAATTATGTATTTCCCCCTTTTCAGAAACTAGAGAATTGTGAAGACATATCTGCAGATGGTGATTCACAGTATTCCATAAAATTAAATTGTATGAGATCTAGTTGCAGCTGTTAAGGCGACTGGCAAGACTACA